AACATGGCTCTCAATACACATGAAGTGGTGGGTAAGGGAGAGAGGGTCAGAACCTCTCCAGATAAAGCAGAAAGTTACCTTGAAGAAGTTAGGCACAGCCTCTCCTTTGAAGGGTTAGATTTGTGCACAGGATGTCTAATGAAGGTCAGGGAGAAAGAGATATGGAACAATTCCATCAACTGGAAGAAATGGTGCAAAATTTGCCAGTGATGCTTGTAACAGCTAAAAGTGCTAGTTATTGAAATTTGTATGTGTCTGTGATTGGGCCTCTTCTGCTTTCTCATTTTCGCACACACACCTCTGCTCAGTATTTTGGTCAGTACAATAGGAATGTATCATCAGCTGGATTTTGGTGATCATTTGATGTGTGTGCCTGAAGACATTTATTGAGTGTAATTAGCCACTCATGATAATTTTAGTACAACTGATTAGCAATGTTATTTTCAATTTATTTTTATTTTATTTTAATATGCTCTGCACTTCACACCTGGCAAAGCAAATGGTATGGAAAAAATTAAGTGTAGGATTTTTTCTCTCTGTTATTGTACATGCTAGCTAGTGTTCAACAAAAAATTACTCATACTCAGCTACTTATTCATGACTTCTAATTAGTACTTAGCTAATCATTGTCTGCAAAGCAGACTTATTTTACTTAGTTTATTTTAAATTAAGGCTACTGGGGATTAGCATCTACAAGGTCACTTGACAAAACGCCAACCTTGCCTGTCAGACAAAGGTCACTCTAACGAGCTCATGAATTCCCAACTCTGTGCACTGCCTACATGGGTACCTCTCCAACAGGATCACAGAGCAGACTTTAGCTAATGACAGATTAATGCCAATTTAGTCAGCATAATGCCTCCTGTCGCTAAAGCTTTTCCGTTGCAGCAGCGCTTGTAAAGTCCCTAAGAAATCCCACGTATGTGTACTACCTTTGCACACAGCAACTTTGACCAAAGCGTAAAGTTTTGCAGCAGCAAATTTCAGAACTCCTGCATCTAGGTGAAAAGATAAACATTCAACATTTCTCTCAGGAGCTGATCTTTTTTTTTGTTTTAATTTTTATATATATAAATATACCATAAAGCGTACCATTTCCTCATTTCAGTACAGATTTTTTGAACTTTACTAAAATAAATGAAATATAAATGCTACAATTTTATGTTTAAAACAAGTTTTGATGACAGCCTTCCCCTAAGAGCAGGCCCAGAAACTCCATTAGCTATGTGGAGAGAGACAAAAACACCCCCAAAACTTCATACTGTGCAAGAGCATTCAGAACAACAAATGTGCCTCAGCTGGAGCTGCTTGCAGGTGTCCATGAGTTCCTCACGTGAATGCCCACTCTCCTCAGCAGAAACTGCTTCATTACTAACCTGAAAATTTCACATTCAACATGTATCATCTCCCTTAAATTTGTTGTCAAGACCCAGTTTTCCATATCTGCCTGCCTTTGCTGATCCCAAATAGCAAGAGGTATTGTCAGTTGTGGATTTGGGGATCAGGATTGCAAACTGCTGAGTTTTCAGATAAAACCATGTGAAATCAACCACTGTAAACCTAGTAAAAATGTCAACCTTTTTTTTTTTTCCCCTTCTCCTTCACAACCTGGAAAATGTTCACAGCATTGAAACAATGAGGCATAGGAGCAGGGGTGTGGATGACACACCCCGCACATGTTTTGCGCTTTCATACTTCTTCCCAATCCTGTCTTTGACCTTAATGGGTGCCTCCTGGACAGGAGAGGATGTTCCAGGTGAATCCTACTCCACCCTTTGGTTCAACCTCTACTATGCTTTCGGGTCCTGTGGGTGAATACTTAGCTACTAAAGCAGCAATCTAAAATCTGTCAGTGTGTCTTGCTGCCAAGAGTTTTGTTGTTGGTTTACTCCTTCTCAATGTGTACTTTCCAAAACAGACATTTTAAAACAAAAATAAAAAACAACAACAAAACGAAATCTTTGAAACAATGATAACACCACAATATCTGTTTAAAACAGTACTGCCCGTGCTCTGGACAAATTGTTAAGAGCAATTCAGCATTCTTATAATTAATCCACAACAAAAGAAGCTATAAGATGCCACAAATGAAGGCATAATTGGCCGTACAGAGGCAACACTACCATGAATGTTGTTTGGCAAGGAAAAAAAAAAGCAGATACATAATTCATCCAAAGAATGGGTTCAGAACTGCCCGGCGCTGCTGGGATCACACTGCAGGAGACGGACTATGGATGGATCACTCTTGGCTCCTCGGATGAACTCTTCCAGAGACAGCTTTCCTAGAAAAGAAACACATTTTCTTAGCGCACATGGTGGGTTGCAGCACACCTGCCCGGCCTCCAGAGAAGCACAGTGGAAGGAAGCTGGGGAACCCCAAGGAAAATCCCTGGGAAAGCAACCTGCAAGGTAAAGCCCTGCCTGCCTGCACCCAGGTGGCTGTGGATGGCGGTGGCTTTGCCTTGGCGGTCAAAGGAGGAGTGGTGGGTTTGGGGGGTTGTCCTGTGCGGGCAGGGCACCCCAGCCACCCAGCATGGGGGGCAGAGGTGGCTGCCCCAGCATCTGGAGGATACCTACCATCACGGTTAGTGTCCATCTGGCGGAAGATCTTCTCTGTCCTCTTCTCTGGTGTTGACTCGTCTTCTGGCATCTTCATTACTGAAGAAACCATCTTATAGATTGCCTGTGTGACATGACAGGAGCAAAGAGCTGGTAAGAAACACATTATCTTAATGCAGAGGTATGATTATCTCCTAGTGACAGAAACAGGCAGAAAATGTCCCGAGAACATCATCTGGAACCTGTTCTCTGGATGCTGGAGGGAGCTGAGTAGCACCGGTACATGTAGCTGCCCTCTTCAGTGGGACAATCATTTATGAAATGCTGTGTTTCCTTATTTAGTGATGGTCAAACACAACCTGGCTTTGGATGGAGGTTACATTTTTCCTAATTGAAACAGTCTTCAGATGAATTTATCACTTGTACAGCATGTTAGGCACTGGCAGCTCCTAGTGCTTGTGGGAATGGTAAGCCCACCAAGGTCTTGCCCCACGCTGTGGTGTTTCTCCATGCTTTGACCACATGGGCTCTGTCCTCACCACTCCTGTCCCCTCACCCTGCCTTTGCTTCCCTCCATCTCCTTGGTTGTCTGGGGGAGGGCAGTGACTCACTCACTGCTTTTGCCATGTCTCACAGATAATGAAGACTTGACCAGTAAGGAGGCGGCCTTTTCCTTGGGGATTGGTGTGTGTACACAGATCAAAACCCCATTCACCATTTGTTCCGCGGAGAGCAGATGTTCTGGTCCCACATGGCACTGGTGCCACCCACAGCTATTCTCTGCACAGACAAATCCATTAGTCATGTATGGTACTAGCCGCCCCTAAAAGGGAGGTAATGTTAATTTTAAAAAAAGGATGAGTAGTTGTCTCTGAACGGGTTATCCAATTGTTGCCTGCAAATGTGGGCATGCAGTACCAGTAAACAAGTATTTTTTGCATTAGATATCTTTACGGTGCCACACAGCTGGGAGAACAGCAGCAGCTGGACAGCTGCAGGGTGGTGGCCTTGGGGAAGCCTCCCTGACATTTGGAGAGGCAGCACATCCCAACCCAAGGCAGTGTTGCCCTGGTCTGACCAGCTCCTTCTGCTTCCTGTTGTGGCTCATTGGCCTCTGGCTGACGGGTGCTGCACTGGGCAGTCACTTTGCCCTCCAGCCCTGGTCTGTAGATGTGGGTCACTTCCACTGATTCAAATTCTTGTTTCCTCCCCCCAACACAGTGTCTGCAGCAGTCAGTTGAAAAGTTACTACAGACATGATTGCTTTAGCTATTTGTTCTTTGCTTCCTTCTGCTCTGGGAGGGGGGGTGCTTGGCACAAGCCCAGGATTGCTCACTAAATCTCCCTTTTTCCCATTCATGAAGGCACTCTGCCTAGCACGCTCCCATCATCTGGCCCAGGGTCCCCAAGGGCTAGCTCCGGGAACATGACTGAACAGATTCACCAGCTGGAGGATGCTGCTAAGCAGTGCAGATATTTTACACTCAGACTGGGGAGCTCCCACTTCCTTGGCCATCTTGCTGGCTTCTCTGCCAGCAGCTCACCTTTCACATCTCCTGGCCTTTAAATAACTTAGAGTTACACCCTGAGAAGGGCATTTGTCTGCTTAATTAATTATTCATTGCTTATGTTTAGCACATTCGAACACCTGTGCCCTCAGCTATGTCACCAACACCGTGGCTGTGGAATTCTTGGTCTAGCCTCTGGTAAGTCTGTAATGCTGGCTATGGACCCGAGCAGGGGAACAGAGGAGAACATTTCAGCCTGAACAGCTGTTGGCTGAACGGAGAAGTTGTGGGCAACATTTTCATCATCATCGTTGTCATCATCATCATCATCATCATCGATTTGCGCTGTGGGAGTGCCCAAAGGCTCCCAAGAGAATTGGGGTGCCAAGGTATTGGGCAGAGCCTCAGTACAGGCAGGGATGCTGTCCACACAACTATGATCACCTGATAACCAGGAGAATAGAAGAAAGGAACAACATGCAAGCAGATGAACATAGGGGTGAAGGAGGTGGAGGAAGGAGACAACAGGGGAAGAAAAAAAAAGTAGAGGGTGAACAGTAAGAATTTACACCTTCCCCATCCTCTCAGCATGCAAGGCTCGCATGGGTCAGAGCAGAGATGAGGTTTATAAATCTGCCAGTGTTTAATCATCTTAAGCTGTCTGGCTTTTGTCTGGGGTAGGAAGAGAGGTGGAGGGGTCACTCCCTCACTCTGGGTGAGAGGATGGCAAGGCAGAGAATCTGTATTGAAAGTGTGGGAGGAATGCCCCAAACTGGGAGTGCAGACGTGTTTGCCCTGATCAAAGTAACCATAGTAAGAATATGCAGATTTTTAGGACAAAAAAAACACACTTCAAGATGACTTCATCTTACAGGGTCCTTTTCACAGAGGCGTGTGAAGAGAATAACAGATGAGATATTCTAGGAAAGCCAGATGGGAATAACATAGTAAGCGTTCCTTTCATGCTGAAAATGGTTACTCTGGACAAATTCTTATGTCCTTACTCAGAAATTCAGTGGGAAGTTTTCCCAAAGTAAAAGCCAGCTAAAGCTGATTAAGAATCTTGAGACTTGCCCCATATTAATTCAATGTGGCTACACAGAGCTATTTATCGTGTGCTTGAAAGAGCAAGCTTTGAAAGGAAGCTGGTTTCATGTGATAAATGCGTGGAGCTGGGCTGTACCAGCTGTGGGCTGTAACCTGGGACTGAAAGACTGCAGGGGCTCCACTCCACTTGTAGTACAGCTCCTTGGCCTCGCAGTACTTGGGCTGAAAGCCATTGGTAGCATTCAGCCTGAGAAGGTTTGGAGGTGGTTATCTGTCAGCCACCTGAGTCAGGGTAGATTTTGCAGGTGAACTTCTGTCAGGAGGGCTCCTTACAGATCTCTGGTGCCCCTAAATGCCACCAAGAAATTGTGCCTCCAGAGCCCTGTGTGCATCACTGGAGTGAGCACAGGCTCCAGCTTCATCTGAACTGGCTGGTTCCTCACTGAACTCTCCCCTTTGATTTTACGTTTGCATGTGGATGTGTGGCGATGGGTGATTTAGGGCAAATCTTATCCCTTTGCCCATTCGCACAGGTTTTGCTCCCAGTCACTGGCTGCCACTGCTGCACTTGGGCCAGAAACCTTGGTGGAGGGCTGCAGTTTCCTGCTGTATTTGGCAAAGTGTCAAAGAGCTCCTTACGGTGGTGGCAGCAACGACAGCAAGAATTTTCAGTCAATCCTTTGTACTCTGTTGAAATAAATTTTGACAGCTAAAAGTCTCATGAAGTGAATAATCAGCCTGAAAAAATTGCTTTCCTCTCAGTCTCATGGGGATTTTTGACACTGTCTTTACTGAGAGCCATATCAGCTTCTGCTTCTTCGCCTACCAGCTTCTGTTTCTTCCTGGCTTACAAATAAGCTAGCCCGGCAACTGAAATGTGTGCTGTTTGTATTAAACTGAAAGCATTGTTCTCGTTTCTCAGCTCAGTATTCTTAAGATGCCTCATGACTCCATACGGTGAAAAAATGCACCCTTAGATCAAGGTTTCCATCTCTTATTTGAACTCTTATTTTAAGAGACTCTCACAAAATATGTCCCATTTCAGCAAGGGGAACAAACACAAATCTTCCAGCTGGTTTGCAGCTATTTTTGAGTGGACTGGGCTATTTAGATTATAGGTAAACATATGGGAGACATGAAAAGCATTTCTGGAGCAGGAGAATCTGAGAAGATCTGTGGTGAGGTCTGTCAAGAGGGCAGGCTATGAAGCATCTTCCCACAGTTCTTTGCAGATGTGCTGTGCCTGGTAGGTGTAGCAGTGTCCCATGGACCTTCTTTCATTAGGCTCTGCAATCATCAATCCACCACTGAAGTCATTCAAGTTATGTGATCCTCCGAACTGTGCAGTCAGCTCCACGTGGATGGCTCATGTCTCTAAGCAGGGCTTTTTGGAGACTTGTCTAGGGGAAGCTCATGGCAGGTGTGGTGAGCGTGTGTAAGGCTACGTGTACGTGATTAACAGCACTATGGTAAACGGAGCTTAAAGGAATGCAGGTGCTTTGCCCACCAGCCCGTTGTTTTGCAGAGAAAATGGGCTTCAAAAAGCTGTTACAGGCCATTCACGTTCATCTCCTTGGCAGCTGGCCAGTTACTAGGGCTCTTGTGGGACGTGAGCCACGTAACCAGTAGCTCTGCTGTTTCACTGCTGCTGCTCCTACCACTGTTACCACAAGCACCTTCTTGCAATGCTGAGCAACAGGGCAATGCCTACAGAGGTGTTAGACTAGGCCAGAGCATGTGAAAGGAAATGCAAGTAACCATCAGCATAACAGTGAAAATCACTACGGAAAGAGGACTTTCAAAGCACAAAGAAAAGCAGTCTGAAAAAGAAAAAAGGCATGCCTTGCCCCTATGTTTTATAATATACGGTAATCCCACAGTAAAAGGGGCAGTATTTTTCTGTGAAATTAAGACTTTTAGATTGATGGTGTTTCTTTTAGCATTCGTTTTGACACATTGTCTCATGAAAACATAATAAATCCTGCTATATAAATATGCAAATGTATGCTAGATAAGGGACTTGTAATAGGTTCCTCTGAGACATATATCAGAGATATAACAGAGTTCTGTTTTTCACTATCAGAAAGATTGTGATGGCTGAGGCCCCCCCCCGGAAGACATTTGATACAGAATCTTGTCTTTCCATATTAAAAAAATAGCCATCTTTTGTAAATGAAAGAAAGAGTGGTTAGCTGTTTTCTTTTTGTAAGTTTAATCACTCTACATCAAAGGAACCTCTCAATAAAGCAAGAAAATGTGCTCGTCTACTTCAGTTTCACCTATCAGACTAACATGCTTCTGGAGACTATGCAACAAATCCTATCCCTCCGGGAGGAGCGATGAGTGACCAGTGCAATACAGCGAGATCACTGTGACCATAAAAAACTGGAAGAAGAGAATGGGGTGAGATCTACAAGCACGTTGCCTCATGGGAAGCTCCATTAGAGAAAGGGCAGCTTTTCTGATTGGAAAACTGCTGATGGTCTGATGGTCCACAGTGCAGAGGTGACTGTTGCTCAGGCTTATTAGACTGTTTATTTCCTAACTGCTTTTTGTGTCGTCCCTCAAAATGTAGGGTGACAGTAAATGAAAGAAAGCATCGCTAAATTGAGTTTCAGGAGTGATCTGAAAGAAGGAGAGAGCCAAACCTCCCAAGAAGTGCAGTGGGAGGGCTGGAGTGCCAGGCTGAGGGCTGTATACAATCAAAGTGTTGCTCTGTGTTGGATGTACAAATTGTCAAAATGTCTCTGTACACTGATTCCTAAGCTGCAGTTTCATTTGATGATAGCATCATGGTTGTAAAGGACAATGCTACGGCTTGGTACAAAGATTGCTGTGAAGAGGAGGCAGAGCTTTTCGGCTTCTAAATGCGCTGGTGAGAAGATATGGGGTAACTGAAAAAAGCTGCTGGCTTGATTGACTTGCTACAGAGAATCCAGCCACTGATGTTTTTATTAAATTTGACATGAACACATTTGTGGCTTTGTTCTACTTGTTTCTAAATCTTCTGGTCTGGGGGGCTTGTGCTGCTGCTGAGCTCTGAGGCCTTCCCGGGCTACTCGACAGCAGCAAGGGGTCCTGTGGTCCCTACGGCGTCTCCTCCTCCTGAGGAGCAGGTGCTTTCTCGGGTTTGGCTCCTTGTGTTTGCTTTGTACTTTGTTAGTTCTTTTGGGTTTCTCTTTGTTCTCTTATGAGGAGAAATGCAGCTAGAAAAACAATAGTTGACAGTCTGTTTACCCTACCTGGGGGAGAGGAAGATTTGTAAGGAACAGAGTATCTTCTAATGCAAATATTACATGGGGTTTGTCATGGCACAGAGACAGGGAGGTCTCTGTGTCTGAATGCAATCCTGCCCTTTAACTCAGACCCAGGAACACCAAACAGAATGAGTGAAAAATGACACCACAACCCTACATTTGCAGCTGACCTCTGTATCTTGCCTTGCTGAAGCAGTGCAAGTGCAGGTGTTGGCTACTGTTTGGAGGACATGAGAAGAGCCCTGGAGAAAGACAAGGGCACCGTGTGTTAGGCTTACTCTGTACACGCAGTTTGCCATCACAGCCTGTAATTTGTGTGCATTCCTTTCCCTTGATTTCCAGCACAAATGTAAGTCTGAATAGTACAGTACATAGTTAGCACTTCAGAATTTCCAGGGAAAGAAACGATCTTGATAACAGCCTTTTTTTTTTTTTTTTCCTAAACAGTGCTGCATTATACAGATTCAAGCTGTGTAAATATACTACCATATCAAAAATGTTTTAAAGCTTTCAGTAGAGTGATGTGCCTCGAGGGTAAAAACATGTTAGAGGAAGCCAAAGTGAGATGGGACTCCTACTAACACCACAAGAAAATGTGTCCAAAGAAGCTGTATATGGAATCATCATCTACCCAGATAAGGTTTATCTGTACTGGCAACTTAATACGAAGACAGCTAGTATGAAATTAAGTATCCAGACCTCACTGGAATTAGGCAGACATTCACCTTTTGAAATATGTGAACTGGTTCTTCATAACAGTATGATTTCAAAGTAAATCTGTTTCTTATTGTGGAGGGAAATTGCCTTCCTTAAAAGTAGAATACTTGGTTGATCTAAGACACCTACTTGATCCAGCTGTAATTAATTGACAGTGATTTCCCAGAGGACAAAATCACATTTATCAGCAGGTTACTTGCTGTGCTCCAGCCCAACAGAACTCCCAAGGGAGAACTTCCCACACAATGTTGCTCAGGAAAGACTTGCAATGGATATCAAATGTTGTAGTTTGAATTATGACACGACCTTTGCCAAATGAAATAACATTTTATATTCAAGCTGTTATACAGAGAACCAAGATCATAAACCCCCAAATGCTGCCAGAGATTTTCATTCAGTGTCTCATTGCAACATTGCTTCATAATTTGGCAGTAAGGAGGGAGGCCAAGGGGTGCCTCCAAGCAGCACATACCTGCACAATTTCCAGCATCTCTGACTTACTGATGTAGCCATTCCCGTCAAGGTCATACATGCTGAACGCCCACTTCAGCTTTTGCTCCAGTTTACCTCTCGACGTTACGCTCAAGGCTATGATGAATTCTCTGAAATCTATTGTTCCATCTCCATTGGCGTCAAAAGTGCGGAATACATGTTCCGCAAACTTAGAAGCGTCCCCATAAGGGAAGAAGTTCCCATATATTTTTTTAAACTCCTCCATAGATAAATGTCCACTCGGACAGTCTCTCAAGAAGCCTTTGTACCACTCCTGGATCTCGTGTTCTGTAAAGTCTGTACTTTCTAGCAAATCTTGCATAACTTCAGGGCGTAGTTTGCTGTTTTGCTTTCCCATATTGGTGTCAAAATATTACCTGCAGAGGACAAAGAAACACATATGAATTATGATTATGAATGATTAATAACTATTAGCTTGGAAGCTGTGGAAGAACAATATGCTGGATGTTGAGTTTTCTGATGACAAGTCACTCTTGGGAATCAACTGAAACTTTGGGCAGCATCTAGTACTATGAGATTAACAAGCCTAATTTACGTGTTGAATACATTGTCTTTTCACGGTCTGGAGAACTGTAATTGCATTGAATTTATTGCCATCCTACTTTGACTTCGAAATCATGAGGTAAGCAATGGATGTTGCAAGGTGTAGCTGACTAGTAGCTGTGTGTTGCAGCACACTCCCCATCACAGTCACCCAACTGTCTTGAGGAACTAACCTGAATGAGATACATTTTTTGTACCTCTGGTAGAAAACAGCTTGCTACAAAGGACTATGTTTCCTCAGTCTTGCTCCAAAATGGGATCAAGGTGCATCTGCAGTGTACACTGAAACCAGGAGCTCCAAAACTCTTCTAGATATATCTTTATAGGCAGAATCTAACAGAGCAACCCAGAAGTTGCCTCTCTTGTTTGGCATGGACCAGTTCCCATTTTAGTTCAAAATGCAGATAAAATCTGAAAAGATTTTATTAATGGTGGATTCCCCTACCCCAAATTATTAGTGTGCTTCTTAATTCTCCTTGTAGCCAGAAATTGGATCTACTACTGAGTAATAGTAATCTGGGTGGTCATGGCTCTTTGGAAAAAATCTCTTTAAAAAAAAAGGGGGAGAAAAAAAAGTACCCAGGCAAAAAATTGAGAAATTCGTTTCCCTTAAATTAACCATTAATAAATATTATTTGATACAGCTTCTGTTAAATCACCTTAATTATATTTTATTTAAGGCAAGTTGCTACATAGCACATTGTGCAGCAGATTTACTAATGACTGATGCCCTTTGGGTTTTAAATTTTGGAGCCTGAGTGTGTTGGCTCCAAAAGGCAACATCATCAGTTTTGCTGGAAGTTTAGCATTATACCTGAATTGTGGGAAGATATTCTCTACTGACAGAAACCTGCCTGAGAATTTGTCATGCAGATGACAGTCACAACTGAAATTGCAAAATAATTTATACAAGACTTCCACACTGTTGTCAGAATGGAGTCTCTGGGCCACAGAGATGGATTTATGAATGGTGTCTGGAGTGGCTAATAAGCATTCACTAAAATGTCCTTCTAGACCAAGGTAATACTTCTAAAAAATAAAGAATAACACAGTGTCATTTCATGTCAGAAGCAGCTATTGAGAAATGTACCACCACAGGAAGCTGATCTACTGTCTCTTCTATTTGGCACCGGGAAGAAGAAATTGAGGCTCCCCTTGCTGATGCCGTTTCCTGTGGTGAGAAACCCCTTCTCCCCAAGGTGAATTTGAACTCCCCAAGGCAGCTAGAGGACTGACTCCTTAATCTCCTGTGTTCTTGGATCAGAATGACCAAAAAGCTTTCTTTCTCAAGGGTAAAATGGTGGTATCCATCCTAGATCTGTCTGTGTCTCCACAGGATCCACTGTTGGCTGTTTAGTAACTAGCTATCTAGTCATTGCCTACACAGTTCACAGAGAGGAGGCTGAAAGGGTTGAGGAGTCCTGCCCAATGGGACCCTTTCAGTCCCCTGACCATTTCAGGGGCCGAGGTGACTATCTTGATTCAAACAATGTCTTCTTTTCCAACGTATCTTCAAAACACTTGGAAAGTGGAAGATGCCATCTCAAAGGAAATTTTTTCTATTGCCTTTCGTCCTTTCATCCTGATCAAAACATACTGTACAGTTTTAAAGTAATTCTAGCTCTTAATACCCTGAAAATAGCAAAAAAGTCCCTGTTTTATAGGCCCAGTCCAACAGCTGCCGAGGCAGCTGAAGGTTGCATTGCCTTCAGCGGGTGTTGGATGGGATCCATAATAAACAACCTGTGAGTTAGCTGAGTGAACGGATTACATTAGGGCAGCCAGACCGGTTTATGTCAGGCAAAACAACAGCGAGCAGGGTCTGCCAGCAGGATGGAAAAGCAACCGGACAAGTGAGGTGGCCAGACTTAGTTTAGAGTGGCACAAGTTTAATAAAAAACAAACCAGTAAAATCCACAGAGTAGGTAGCAGCTACACACCCCCATGGTCGGCAGCTATTCCACAGCCCCAGAGGCTGCACAATTTTCAGACCATCAGAGCAGAAAGGGAAGATCTCTGACGCGCAAGCCAGCTGCGGTAGGAGTGAGCTGGCATTAGCGATATAATCCCTTGCTGCTTTTTAATATCTCAAACATTTGAAAATGCAAAACTCAGCCTGCAGAATTCTAATTCAGAGTCTTTTGAAAAATAAAATAGTGAGGTAACATGCGGGCAGTGGCCTTCAAGAGGTAGCCAATAAGAATGTGTTTCAGTCCAAAAAATTATGCCTTTATAGCTACATATGGCTGCAGGTGCAACATATTTTTATCAAACAGTAAAACCCACAGAATAGCAGAACGCACTGCATTGCATTGGTAGATGCAAAACAACACAATCAGAAACATCTATGTTCTCCAGGCAGAAAGGAAGAGCTAACCATGTGTGACTTGCAGTAAGGGTTGGAAATCCACAGCCGCTGTGATGCTAGGCAACGCAGTCAAAACTGGTAGGATTATTTCTGAGTCCACTTCTGATGAATTTGTATCATGTTCTTTGCCCTCCAGATTGTTCCTTATTAATAGGTGATATTCTAGGAACTGTAACGATGGGATTTATTGTGCCCATTCTATCAACATTGGATAAAAATCCTTTTGCAATCCAAGTACAGAAAATCCTTGAAGACACTTAAGGTCCTTATAATCACTTCGTACGCTGCTGCCTGACTCTTCAGGATAGATGAGATTATGGGCAGAATACAGTGAGCTAAGAGAATGTCAGCTAACAATACAATGTCAGCTAACAGCAATAACTGCACAGAATGAAATAAAATTGAATCTGATTTTAGGCATTTTTTCACACATTATCGCTTCTGTAAATCTTTCACATTTCTAATAAATGATTAAATGCTAAAAATACAGCAAGTAAACAGTAAATGGCAATCGCAGTGTCAAAGTAAAATATTGACAATACTGAGAAATGGATGTTGTAGGTACGCAAAACAAAGACAAAATAAGTGGTTTTGTATACTGTATAATTTGATTATGTTTAATCACATTTCTACAGTTTCTTCCTCTGATACAATGGTGTTAGACATAATATATATGAATGACTTCTGATATGGGACAACATGACATATAAAAATACTAATGTCTTAATTCTGAAGGCAATATTGTTTGGTAAAAGGATGTGATGTGTTTATGGCTTGAAGGGCTGATACCATTTCAGCCAACAACTACAGAAGATCAGAAAGGAAAGTATCGCTAGTGTGTGGTTGCTATGGAAAGAATCTCTGTTCAGTGACTATTTAGGGAAATGTCATAGGTGCTGCTCCACAAAGTCAATACTTAGAGCTTGCTTTAATCAGGTCTAAGTGTGGAGTTTTTAAGACAAGACTGATGATAGAGCTCTTTGACAGACAAGAGGCTGTGACAATTCAGCATCTAAGAGAATAAATAAAGTAGTGACTGACACTACACTGACGGACTTTCCCCACAGTGCAGTATATTGTGTGCAGACAGGACATCGATGCTGTTACAGCCTTCTCCTCAAACAGGGAGAACTGACTTGACAGAAAGGCAATGAACACTTATTCTATCACGTGCCTCTTGTCAGCAGTTTGCTGCTGCTCGTTTACAGTTGTTACCTCAGTCTGAAACCTCAGGGTAAGGCAAACATATTGGCTGCTTAAGCAATGGCCTCGCAGGAGCTGAGAAGCTGCAGCAAAGAGCATACAGCTATCACATTTCTGTGTGAATGCAATGCAAGCATCTAAACATATTTCCTTAAAAGAAATCAAATTTCTTTTTTTCAGTTAGGCATTTGCTATAATAAGGAAGTGCTAGCAACACTTTTCTGACAATGCTCTTGTTCTTCAAACTTGACATCCACCATATAAAGACAACCCTTTTCTTTAATTAAGCAAGATGTCTTAATTTTGATTTAGGCTTAAATCTGAAGGAAAGTCCACTGCTGAGATAAAGTATGATGATGAGAAAGGGGCACTTGTCCAGGGAAGTGTTGCTCTAAAAATGGAGAATTTAGAATATTGAGTACTTCGTAGCTAACAGGGTACAAGGCACCTGAAAGGTATAAAGAATCAGTTTGAAGACAAGTCCTGCCTGATATATTTCCAGCGGGGATAGCAAGGCATTTCACACCATAGACTTGGCTACAGAGACCAACTGTGTAAAACTGAAGGCAGAAAACTTTCCAGAAAGAAGCAACGAAAGCTCTATTTTTTTATTTCAGTGCTATTCCACAATTTAAAATTAGAAAGCACTAGATAACAAAACATGAGCTTTAGGAAATGATCTTTCAATGGCAGAGAAATAACACTGGACAATGCACGAAGCCTCTTACACAGCCGGTTTATACACCCCTAAAGCCACAGGATGCACACAGAGGCAATTCTGGAGCATGGATGGAGAAAGTTTCAGTAACACACCACTAAAGCGAGAAGGACACTTCTCCAGCATAGCTGAGAGACAGCTGGATGATAGACATTACAGTAACAGCTTACTTGACTAATAGTATGGCTCAGTAATATTACAGAAAACAGAGGAACCACCTCATTATTGTCTGTCTTCAGAAAAGGTTGTTTCTTGGTTTCTTATACACAGGATCTGACTGGTTTCCAAGAAATAATACACTTGTGGGGGCACTGCTGTCTTTACCATTTCTAACACATAATTGAGAATTTCCCTGAAACTCGCAAGCGTGGGATTTCAATCTCTGCCACACAGCTGAAGAAGTTCCTGATGACTGCTGGAATGAACCAAAGGCTGAGCAGGACAACAGCATCACTCTGAACCAGCGCTGCTACCTGACAGTCTCGAGAAAACCGGGCACCAGAAAGAGTCAGTCCCCTGTGGCA